TCAGAGGACTAGTCAATAAACAAATCTATTTTCAAGTTTGATTAGGGAAAGGAAGAGGTGGCTCAGAAAAATAAATTTTGGATGGCAAAGTATTGATTAGAGGTGCTAAGATCATGTCTGTGCTCTGCATAACCCTAACATATTGTGACTGAAAGAGGTGGCATTGAGTGGAATAGCACTGGATGGAAATAGTTTGGTCCTCTACATCTTGCTAGACTGCCGCTTTTACCTTTTCTCACCTATGCTAATTAAATCACATCTGCACACTCTCCAACTGTTCTGATTTGACAGAATCAGTCTTGATTATTTCTCTATCATTCTACTTTTCAGCTGTTTTGAACGTGTTCCAGTTTTCCCTCTTTGTCTTCATCTTGCTTCAACTGCTGCAGTCAGAGTCTAGGGTACAAAAGTTGCTTGCATTCAATGAACTCAACAGCGAAAGAGGAGAGAAATGATTGGGTTTTGCCCTTTCTAGTAGGTTAGAGGAAAAGCAAAGTGCTTCAGCTTCTACTAGCCTGTGTGTTCTCTCTCATTAAAAACTTGTTAAATTTTTACCACATTCCAATGTTGCTTGGGCAGACATATTGTTAATCTGTGACATGGTGGAGGGTCTGAATCCTGAGGACCATATATTCCCCAAACCTGGATTAGGAAGAAATAGTGTAAGAAGTAAGATTGTTTATTGCTCCTTCCAGTAGCTTAGGGACACTTCAACAGTGAGAGCTTTGGAGTAATAGCTTTAACAGCTTTCAAGGTGAAGTTTTGCTGTTGTCATCACTGTGGTAGTGGTAGTCACATAATATATATTAAGAACATAAACAATAAGACAGTATGCAGTTTGAAAGAAGAATGACAGAAATCATCCTTCCTGCAAATGTATTACTGGACATGGAGAATAAGAGAAGGAAGGTAGGATGATGTGTGAAGAAGGGAAATGTATGAAAAACCCCAAAAGAAATGATCCCAACAAAGTCCAATCTAGTTCAGCTTTCTGGTCTCACAATGGCCAAACAGATGCTCATGGAAAACCCGGAAGCAAGACATGAACATGATTGAATCTTGTCATGTTCATGCTCTGCAGCAACTGGTACTTAGAATTATATGATACTCTCAAAGAAAAGGAAGATGACTGGAATCCTGTAAGGGAGACATACATGGTAAAACACCATTCCAACTCAACCCTACTTACTGGGGCCTCATCTATACTGCTATATAATGTAGTTTCAGAATGCAATTAAACTGAAATAAACTGGATTATATGAATTTACACTGCCATATGATGCAGTTCCATTATATGGCAGTACAGATGGAGCCTGGGATGCAGCTGCTGTGATAGACAGGGATCTGTTCCCCTGTGGTTTGGAAAGCAAGTGACATTTCCACCCTCCTTTGTGAGCGATCCCAGGTACAACAGACAGAAGTAGACACCCTGTTGCAATTATCCTATTGCAACAGAGATCATCTATGCAAAGTGGCAACATGAGGTAGTTTATCCCTGATCAACAGGAGAAAAGACACACATCAATCACTGTGGTTGTTTCCCAGTAAGTAGGATTGTGGAGGCATTTTCATGGTTCCTATATATAGGGTATGTAGGGATCATGAATTATGTATTCATAACTGTTGTAGAGAATTATGGATGATGTTTTTAGCATATGGAGAAGGCAACTTTCCACTGTGGGGGAAATTCTAGATTTTCCCTATCCGCAACAGGGATTAAAGGGAAGAGAAAACCATACCAAATCTCATTGGACCTGTTCAGATCTGGAAGAAGAAAATATAGAATGGAAAGATAGAAGATTGCTAAAACATCATCTTCAGTAAATAGGGTGCAGAAAAAGGGAATTGTTACTTGGTCTATTACAGTAAGTACTGGAAGTATTTTACAGAGAGCGCAAACCAAAAGGAGGTAGTCATTTTGAATGGAAGGATTAGAATTATTTTTCTAATGCGTTGTCTACAGACAGCAAAAGTGCAATGAAAAAGATCACAAAATGTGAAAATGGATAGCGTAACCACAATTAAAAGATAAAGAAAAGATGTTAGGCCGTGTCCATCTGGTTACAATGCTATTAACCCCAAAGGAATCATCTTTTCAGATATTTTTGGACTATATGTACAAGCAGCACTGTCCAGAATAGTTGACAGTGGAGAGTGTTAGGGACTGAAATCTTGCAACCCTGGAAGACCAAATGAAGCTCACACCTGATCTATATTGGCTGGCTGTAGCTCTCCAGTTTTTCAGACAGGATTCTTTCTTTGTCCTACATTTATAGGTCATAATCCATACTGAGACCCTGTTTCCTGCAAAGTATAGCTGACTTTGTAACTAGTCCCAACTAGATTTAGGCATTCAATCAATCCTTGAACAGTAAGACAGGGCTTTCATAAATCCTATCGATTCATTCAGTCTCTAATAGATGGAACTAACAATTGAGTAATAACCCTTCCCCAGAGATAAAACATTTGAAAATGGGGCAGGGAGGGAGGGGAGAACTACTCACCAATACCAGATAGTGGAGAGAATGAAGAAAAAGAGAGACCCAATGAAAGGAGACGAAAAGAAAAAAGAGAAGAAGGAAATAATTCTGTGGGTGGAAGCCAATTAATGAAAGAAAAACAACACAAACTGTTCCAACCAAAAACTGTGTCAGATAATAATTCATACTTATATGAAAGGGTCAATTAAAGGAACACAGCAAGAGAAAGAAGTGTTGCAAGAGACTGGAATTCATAAAAGTTGCTGAACAAATAGAATGCCCTACAGCAGATATAAATAAACAGACAATATAGATACCACAGAAAAGTGACTGTGAAATTAATCTTTGACAGTTTTATAGTAAAAACACAAAGGGGAAAGAACAGCAGATGAAAATTATTCAAATATCTTTTAACTGAGGTTAGAACCCCAATTAAAAGAAAAACAGGGGAAGATGAATCATTTTATTGCTTAAAAAATCGCTGGAAAAGAAGACTGGGCATAACTATCTACTTTGATGATTGAATGGTACTAGGTCAAGTCATACGGCAAACATAACTCCACTGATTTCAGATCAAATGAAATCTGAAGAGGAAATGATAGACCTAATGGAGGCACAGTGTCAAATAGTGGAGAACTTCCTTCGCTAACTAGTGCATTTATTTATTTATTTATTTGGTAGCAAAAGCACTGCAGAAATGAGTATGAAACTGATAAAAATAGGAGCACAGGTGGCTAAATATCTTTTAACCAAAAACGGACAACAGTGACCGCATTGTCTGTAGCCTCAAACAATTCTTCCTCTGTACAAGAGGCAGAACATTGCGGACAAGCATACACATGCGGAGTTGTCTGTTCTGCTCCACGGTCGCACAAGGCGCAGGATTCTTATAGGGAGTGCCATTTTGCCAGGTTGTCTTTTGAACTGCCCACTCCACTTCTGAGTCCGTTCAGGGCCTTCCAAGTTGCCCATTCTTGGTTTGCCCCTGGAGGCAAACCGTCATGGGGGGGGGGGGCATCCAATTGGAATTTCCTGGTTTAGCTGCCCAGGATACACTTGCTGTTGCTGGGGGAACGTTAAGAAGAGTGGTGGTTCTCATGAAGTTTCTCCTTGATTTGAATCTACTGGGAGGAGGCTGATACCCATGCAGTGGGTGGCTTTCACAGTGTTCAACCTTATTTCTCTCACAGTTAGCAGCAACTTCCCATCACATAGGGGGGGGGGCAATGTCAGCTAGCTTGTAGAGTTTATCAACAGGTGTAGGTTTAAGACATCCTGTGATTATTCTGCATGTTTCATTCAATGCTATATTCACCTGCTTCCCGTGGGTAGACTTGTGCCAAACAGGGCAGGCATACTGAGCAATTGAGTAAGACAAGGCCAGGGCTGATGTTCTTATTCATTTTGGGTCTGCACCCATGTGCTGCCAGTACGTTGCAGGATGTTATTACATGCAGCTACTTTGTGCTTGGTGTTCATGCAGTGTTTCCTGTATGTTAGTGTTCAATCTAAGGTGACACCAAGATGTTTAGGATGGGAAAAATGTTCAAGCTCTTGACCTTCCCAGGTAACTTTCAATTTCCTGTTGGCTTCACCGTTCTGCAGGTGAAAAGCACACAATTGTAT